GCCGAGCCCGGGTTCGGCGCTGGGTGAGTGACCGACAGGACACCTCACAGCAGAGGTTCCTCTAGACACCCACACCACTCTCGGATCCCGTGGTTCTTATAGGAAATTTTCCGCCATCTGCCTATTCTTCCATTCAGAGTTCCCCATATTCACAAAGTTATTTTCTCCAGGCCAAGTCCAAACAATCCAAGTCCAGGTGTGGATGATCTTGCTGATGAAGTTACAGGAACTGCGGCTTTCAGATGTATCAGCCCGGAGGTCTCCAGAGGTTTCGATCTGAGCCGTTACCGGGATGATCAGCTTCCAGGGTCCCGGTATCAGTTCCTGGAACAGCCCATCTCCGGGCGAGCCGCATGTATTAGATTGTAAATGAGACATTGTTTGGCTTAGGCTGAACACGAATATGGGGGGGGTGGGGTGGCTGGCTTCAGCATCGGCGTGTGTTTTTACATTAAACTAATCATTTCATATAGTGAGCCACATTTAATATAACAATATTTCAGAGGCGCAAATTATAACCATTTAGATCACTGTCCCGTCCCGCCGCCCCCGCCGGAACTACAACTCCCATGGTGCCTCGGGGCGCCCCCGCCACCCCGGCGGGCACGTGACGGCGGTCACATGACGGCGCGGCGGGGCAGGCCCGGCGGAGCAGCCGCCGCCGCCGCCCCGCATGGCCAACGTCGCCAAGAAGGTGTCCTGGTCCGGCCGCGACCGCGACGACGACGAGGACGGGCGTGCGGGCGAAACCACCCCGCTGCTCAACGGTACCGGCCCGGGTGCGGCGGGCAGCGGCCGGCAGGTAGGTACCGCCGGCGGGAGCGCGGAGAGGGCCGGGGCCGTGTGCGCCCCGCTCCCTCCCCGGCCGTGCCGCACCGCCTTGGTTGTCCCGGGCTGGGCGGGGGCGGCCGGGGTCGCTCCGGGCTGGGAAAGAAGAAGCTGTCGGGACGAGGGCCGGGGGCAGCCACGGCCGGGCACGGGGCACTCGTGGGGGAAAATGTGAGCGGGACTGAGGCAGGGCCCAGCGGCTCCGGCCCTGCCGCTGCCTCGGCCGCTGCTCCTCCGCCGCGGGACGGTCCCTGCCAGCAGCACCCTGTGCTGAGCAGGGCCCTGCTCCTGCCCGCTGGGGCTGCACTGCTCATCCAGAGAATCGCGGCGTGGATCGGGTTGGAAGAGCCCTAAAGCTCATCCTGTTCTACCCAAGGACACTTTCCACTAGACCAGGTTGCTCCAAGCCCTGTCCAACCCAGCTTGGAGCAATTCCTGCCACCAGCTCTGGGAAACCTGTGCCAGGGTCTCACCACCCTCGTTTCCTACTGACATCTACTCTAGTCTCATTTTGTTTAGTTTGAAGCCATTCTCCTTTGTTTTGTCTGTACCTGTCCATATAAAATTAATTTGTGCTAAATGAATTTCTGCTAAAAATGTTTTTCTGTGAGAGCCTGACCTGCTGCTGCTGATCACCAGGTAGGGCTCAGACACAAGAGCCTGTGACACTGGAGTGGTGCAGGGTGTCCTGTGGGACAGAAAGCAGGAACAAGGTGGGCCATGTCACAGAGGGAGGCCAGTTCCTTCTGGTAAGGTAATTTGGGGTAATTAAGTGAGGAGAACTTCTCTCCAGTGTGCCCTCAGGCTGTTCCTGATGCAGCTCAGTGAAGAGAGCTGAGGCACTCAGTTGAGGGTGGGTGGGCTGTGGTGTGGGTGGGATGTCAGGACAGGACCATGGAGCACTTTTGTGCCAGCACCAGGTGGGACAGGCAGTGCTTCTAGGTGTCATCCTGGAATTTCTTGTGGAGAGTTTTCTTGGAGACCTGAGCTTAGATAGGGAGGAGCGGTGCCAGGTTCTGGCAGCTGTTAGCAGGGATGTCTGGCCCAGCACGATTCTGTGCTGCCTGCTCCTGGGCAAGTCAGGACAGCAGGCTAATTAGAGGGAAATGCAGGGCTCGTTAGGCTGGAAGAGCCTTGTGTAGTGCTCTGGGAGCAGGGAATGGCAGCTGGAAGGGGGCAGCTGTGCTGTGGCAGCTGTTCTGGGGTGAAAATAAAAGTAATCTTCCCAGGCAGTGCAACAGGACCCTGTATCTTTACAGCACATAGGGAGTTCTGGGGGTTTGAAGGGCGTTAGAGTCGAGATTGACCAGATCTCATGGCTGGGGGCCATTAGGAGAGGGTTTTCCTTGAGGTTTGGAAGAAGTGCCTGAGGCCTGCTGCAGCAGGGGCAGCTGGAGGTGGACACCCAGCCCTACCAATGTGATTTATTGTCACTGTGTCCCTGCACAGTGCAGGCAGGTCCCAGCTGGTGACATGGTACTACGTGGCATTTTCCTTGGCAAGGGAGGAGGGGGAGTCCCTTGCTGGGGCTCCAGACCACACGTGCCCCTGGCAGTGGCAGCTGGGTTGTCTCTTTAGGGCTGGGGTTGTATTTTGGTGTCAGGCAGCTGCCTCTGCCTTTGCCCCAGATGCCTTTCAGTTGTGTGGATTGAAGCAGGAAGACAGGATAGCTTTGGGAGAGAAATAAAGAGAGGCCTGGGCTGCTTAGCTCAGGGGGGATTTAAACCTGGGTTGTGGCAATACAATAAAAATGTCCCCTAACATCACTTCTTCCCTTAGTCATGTGCTTGTTTAATGGAAATGAAAGTGATCTTAAGGTGACCAGAGGAAACACAGATCTGTAGCTCCTCAGCTGAAGGGACTGAGATCAAGTTCTGGTGGGCAGGAGGTGAGGAGAGGCTGGCTAAACTCGCCTGTGGCTGTGGAGGGGGTGTGAGAGGCCTGTCCCTGAGATCTGCTCTGCTTTGGGGCCAGCTGAGCTGACTTCATCCTCTCACCAGGACTTTCTGGTGCCTGGAGCACCCCAAGGAGTGAGAGGCAGCCTGGGTGTCTGAGCATCCTGCCTGCTGTGGGCTGTCCCTTCCCTGTGTTCTTGAGCCACGTGTGTTGGTTCTCAGGCTGGGAAGTGGGTGGAAAATGTTAGTAAGAGCAGCCAATTTCCATCATGAACCATTTTTTGTGGAAAAACATTTCTCCTTTGCTACCATCAAGGATGTGCTGTGAGACATTTGTGCTGAAGTGCCTTGATTTTGGGATTGGTTTAATGCTCCTGCTTCAAAGGGTGCCTGCAACAAGGGGTCACCATCATGAAGGCCAGGCTGCTGCTGGGCAGGCTGTGCTTCTGAGCCCCTGTGTGTTTATTCTGGATGTTGCTGGTCTCGTTTCCTTGAATCTCAAGTAACAAGGTGCACGAAAGCAGCCAGGCTGCAATCAAGAAATCTTGGTGGGAGGAGGCAGAAAAAGGGAAGTATGAGTGCTGGGTGAACCCTGATTCCTGGCAGATGGGCTGCAGATTGCACACCCCAAGTTACTGGCAGAGAGGCTGCTTGTGAGGCTGGAGGTGATTGCCCCGGAGAGCCACTGCCCCCGAACACTGGAACACCAGGAAATGTTCTGCAGGTTGCTCAAGCCATGGGGGACTGTGGCAGCTCCATCCTTGTGCTGCTCCTATGCCAAGGGAAAGGCCAGGGCAAGGACAGCATTTCCCATCCTCCTGGAGGTGAGGGTCAAGCAGCAGCTGTGCCCTGGCAGTGGCAGCAGGAACCTGGAAGCAAAAGCCAAGTGGTGACACCTTGGGGAGAGTCCAGGTGCTTTCTCCCCTGTCATGAGCCTGGAGGTGAGGAGCCCTGTTCTCTCCTGCTGTGAAGCATTTTGGGGATGATGCTGGGTGGGTTTGAAGCCTCTCTCAGCTGTGGCTGTGTGTCAGAGGGGGGAGGTTTCAAAAGCCCTGCAGCTCATCTCTCCCATTCACTGGCAGAGCTGGTGACAGGGTTCTCATGCTGGTGACACACCGGTGACACAGCCTGGAGTCTTCCACCCAGGCTGGTACGAGGGGCAGAGTGTTCTGCAGCCAAGGGGGCCCTGGGGGCTGGAAATCCTCCTCCTTCCCTCCCACAGCTTCTGTGGGCTCCTTCTGTGGTCTGTGCTGGGCTTCATCTCACAGATAATGGAAAGTCACGTGCTGCCAGCTCGTTACTGAGCACAGGATGGTGACAAGGGGCAGTGTCTAGGGGAGTCTCCTCATGCTGGGTCATGTCCTGCAGGGAGGAGCCTCACTGGCTCATCCCTGTGGAAATGGGCTGTGGAGCAGAGGCAGACACTCCCTGTTGATGGTTCTTCAGAGCAATGTTTGGGGCTTGGTGGCTGTGCACACAGCCTGGGTTGGATCATGGAGATCATGCATCCAGGCCAGGAGTGGAAGGTGGTGGTTGAGATCTGCTAGATTTTTTTCATGTTGAGGTTGATCTTCAATATACTCTTGCTGCTCTCAGAGTGGGTGCCAGCATGACAAAGGGGAAAGGGACCTCAGGAGTCCCTGAGGGGGCTAGAGCTAGGGGCTCTAGTCCAACCCCTGCCAAGAGCAGATCCCTGAGGGACACATCCAGAGGAGCTTTGGGTAACTACTCTGCACCCTGTTTGATCTCAAGTTCAGTGTGTCACCAGCCACAGGGTGAGCATTTAGCTCTGATATCTAAGCAGAAATTCCCTTACTGCAGTTTTCCACTTCTCCTTGTCCCATCAATGCAAAGCTTCAAGGGAAGTCTGGCTTTGTGCTGTCTGTAACCTCTTATTGGGTGTCTGGGGATGGCATGAAGAACTCCCTGAGAAGCACCAGCTCCTCCTTGTATATCTTGTCATGTGCTCCAGCCCCTAATTCTCTTGCTGCTCTCACTTTCTGTACCTTTTCTGTCCCAGGAAGCCCAAACTGGATGCCAAGCCACAGGTGTGCTATTGCAGGTGGAGGTGTGGGATTCCCTCCCCAGACCTTCTGGCAGTGCTCTTGCACCACCCAGGAGGGGGTTGACCACCTCCACTCCAGGTCTGTACCACTGACACCTCTACACTCACCCACCAGGCTGCTGCAGGACTTTCTGTTCTGAGCTACTTTCTGACCACTGGGACTCATCCATCCCAGGTGCAGGGCTTTGGATTTGGCTCTGTTGAATTTGGGGACTTCCCTGCAGCCTGGTGAAGTTCCTTGGAGGAGCAACCCTGCCTGCCAACATTCTTGCCCACTAACACTGATGATAACTTATTTTGATTCAGACCAAGGCTCCAGACATCTCTTTGCAATTATCTCTTTGAAATTATCACCCAAATGAGCTGAGGGCTGGGTGCTCATGTGCCACTGGCAGAGTGAGGCTCAGCGTGTCCCAGAGCCTCTCCTGGGGCAGGAGAGCTGTTAACCCATCTGTGCCCTCTGGGTTTTGGCAGCAGTGCATGTTTTTATGTGGAGATAATCACAGCACAGTCACACCAACATCACACGTACCCAGGATCAGCAGCTGCCTTGGCTGAGTTTGAAAACATCCCAAGGAGGACATTGCTTAGGGAGTCTTTGAGCTGTGCACAAATAACCTTTTCTCTTGGCTCCAGGCTTCCTGAATCTCTCCTTTTTCTCTTATCATTTTTGGGTGCTGCTGGAAGTAGCTTTTTCCTGCCCTCCTGGCATGTGATGCCTGTGGTGGTGAGACAGAAGCCAGGCCTCTGCTTGCAGATGCCAGAGGGGTGCCAGGACTCAGGGGGAGGATATTAAAAATATGCTGCTTGTCTAAGGAAGTTCAGCTTCAGGCTCCACTGCACCTCCCTTCCCTTCATTTGTGCTTGTGTCCTGCTGGTGCTCAGTCAATGGGGAGTTGAGCTGCTGTGCCCTGGCTGCTTTCTCCTGGGAAGGAGGGAAGAGGGTGGGGTGTCACTGGTTCAGCCACATTTGGTCTGTCTGCAGACCCCATTGCTAACAGAAGGAGAATTTTCCATGAAGGGCTGGTCCTGCCTGAGGTCTTGCACAAAGGACAGCATGAGTGACATTTTCCATCTCTTTGCCTTGATCTTGCCCTGGATATGTGGCACCTAACAGGAGCCTTAAATCCTTGTGCTTCTTCAGTCCTGGTGCGGGTGTGTTCCTTTGCAAGGTGTCAGCTTTGTCCCCCCAGGCTTCAGGGCAAGGAATGTGTCCTTGCCCTTCCCTGGGATGGTGGGGGCCTGGCTGGGACCTCAGCCTGCCAGCAGAGCAGCTGGGCACTGGCAGGCACTGGAACAGTTCCTGTATCCAACTCATGCCCCTAAGGTCAGGGAGGTGACAGCTTTGTGTGTACCCAGCTCTTAGAAGTCCACTGTGGTCTGCTCTGGCTGCTGGGAAAAGGCTCCACCTGGATCCTTCCCACTGGGATTGTGGAGCCATCATGGACCAGAAGCAAAGCCCAGGCTGTCTTTGCCAAACCAGTGTCTGGAAATGTTAGCATGGAGCACTGTGGGCTGGAGCTGCTGGGGGCTGAAGGGCACCAGAGAGGGTTTGAGAAGCTGGGGCAGAACCCATCTGCAGGTCAGGGAGTGAAGGAGAGTGTGGAGCAGAGGGAAAAATGGGAAAATAGGTCAGGCTGCAAACACAAAGGGATATTCTTCCTCTGCAGTGACGTGCAGGGCTCCCAGCAGCTCTGTCCTGCATGTTCCAGACAGGATTGTGGGATTAAAGCAGTGAGGGGCTCGACCTGGGACCTGCCAGCAGAGAGAGACCAACGTGCCAGAGCCCTGCTGCTGCTCACCATCCCTCTTTTGCCCTCCAGTTCTTTAACCTGGCATATGGGCAGGGGTGAGGCTCTGGAGGGGAAGATCTTAATGCTGAGGAATGATGTTTGGGCTGTTCTTGGGGACAGTGCTCACATCCTTGTGCATCCCTGTGTTTTACAGCGATGGAGGGGTGACAGCAGCACACCTGCTCCAGCTGGGTCCCCCTGTGGCACTGCTCAGCTGCAGCCCAAGCCCCTCCTTGCCTCATCCAGGAGACAGAGGTGCCCAAAATGTCACAAAACTCCTGTGCTGTGCAACTGCTCTGCCACTAAAACCCCCAAGTGATCACCAGTGAAAGGAGAAGAGGAGAAGCTGCTCCCCAGAGGGAGATGCAAATGCTGCTTCCCAGCATCACACCAGGGCAGGCTGAGAGAGACATCAGAGTCCCCAGGGCTGTGCAGGAGCAGTGTGCCCACTTCCTCCTGTGTCTCCTGGCTGGCAGCCAGCCTGGCTGTCAGCTGCCTTGGGGGTGACAAACACGCTGATGTGATGTGCTGCTCCCAGCTGGGAGCCACTGCCATGGAGCAGATGGCAGAGCCAGACGTGCCCTCAGCTGTCCCTGGCTGCTGGCTGGGCCTGGCAGCTGAGGGCACGTCGTGGTGAGCTTGTGGCTGTGCAGGTGGCACGTTGTGCAGGGGCTCTGTCCCTCCCCAGCCTCAGGGGGGTGTGGAACGTGCTGCTCGGCACAGGTTTGTCGGCACGGCACTCCGTGCCAGGGACTGGTGGTGGCCAGTGCCCATGAGCCGCTGCTGGATGGCACCTCCCCTGGTGAGCTGGCTCTGCCAGCTGGCAGGTTGGAGCAGCTCACCCAAATCCTGGCAGGCTGCTGCTGCCTTGGGTTCCCTCCAGGGTGTTGGATCCCACCTCCTTGGTGTGTCCTCTGAGAGCAGGGGGGCATTCTGGGGGGCTCTGGCGGTGGCAGGCGGGCAGAGCTCTGTGAGAGAGGCAGAGCACGAGCATCTTGCACGCCTGCTCCATCCTCCTGAGAGATTTGAAGTGCATTCAGGAGTTGAACTGATTTCCCCTTCTATCCTCAGCTCACTCCTTCCTCCTTCCTGCGCATCGGGCAGCTGAGCAATGTGGACCTCAACGAGGACATCCATGAGCTGGTGAGTGGCAGAGAGGAGCCCACAGTTACTGAGACCCCTTCCCTTCTTCCACTAACAGCTGCTGCTGTTCCCTCCTTCACATTCCCCTTGTTCCATGAGGACTCCAGCCCTTCTTCCTGGGCTGGGTGACCTCTGTGGCGTGGGCAGCTGCTGCTGCTGCTGCCCCAGGGGCCCCTCTGGGATCCTCAGTAAATGCCCTAATTCGGTTCTGGGAACAGCTTGCACGGTCGAAGGCGTTTGGGAAACTAAATTTGGTTTCTGCCTAAAAACGTGGGTTTGCTTGAAATAGCTCCTTGCTTTTGGCCTAAGGAATTTCCTGCTGAGCTGAAAGGTTGCCCTCCATCAGGACATGGATTCAGTGCCAGGTCAACGTGGCAGTGTGGTACCCAGCTGGGCAAACCCTCCACTGGGGACATCCTGCCTGCGGGTGGAGGGGTGCTTGGTGAGGGTGCACCCCTGACAGCTGGTCCAGCTGCCTTAAATCCCACACATCCACCAAGTGGTGGAAAATCATCCCAGATCCCTGCCTGCCAGGCAGCTGGCACCTGCAGTCCTCTGTGCATCTCTTGAGCATCAAAAGGTGTTAAGCCAACAGTTGCACGTGGGTGGGAGGGCTGGACTCCGACCTGGCCATCCTAAGCTGTGCATCAATCCCACAGGAGACAGAGGTGCCTCGGCAGCGTCCCAACGAGATCCCCCACAACGAGAAGCTGCTGTCACTCAAGTACGAGGTATGTGCCCATCTGCCCCTTCTTGGGTCTGCCCTCTGGGATGCAGCAGGTGAGGCATGAGGGGCCAGGGCTCACAGGTGGTTTCAGTGTGGAAGGAGTGGAATGGAGGAAGGAAAACAATAACAGGAGCAGGGTGAAGGGCTGAGGGTAGCACTCCCCAGCATGGGGGTCTCTTCACCTGGTGGTACACAATAACAACATCTCCCTTTCCCAAACTAGAGCTTGGACTATGACAACAGTGAAAACCAGCTATTCCTGGAGGAGGAGAGGAGGATAAACCATGCGGTGAGTCTTGCTGGGCTGCCCACAGATCATCTCAGCTGGGGTGGGTAAGGGAAGCTGTTCCCCCTGCCTGGCTGCTGAGGGCTCCCCTGTGCCAGAGGAGGTTGTGCTTAAAGCCTAGGTTGAGCTGGCGTGGATTTTTGGGCACTGACCAGCTTGTGACAAGCTGTGAAACCACAGGATCAAGGACCCAGCGTGAGGTGGTTGGAATGGGAGCTAATCTGGGTGCACATGGTGGCATTGCCTGGGAGTATGGAGCAGGTCCTTGAGCAGAGGGACTTCTGGAGTCATGTGAAACATCTGCCCTGGGGGCTTTGGGAATCAGTTCCACACAAGAATCCCAGCAGGATGGGCCTAATGGAGGCAGGCAAGCTGGAAAAGCACCTTAGGGATCCCACAGAGGAGCAAGAACACTGCTTAAAATCAATAAATTGTGTTCAGGCTTGGCTGGGTCAGCCAGCACTGGTGCTCCTTGGCTCTCCACAGAGCTTCCCAGGCTTGGGACTGTGGCAGGTGTGTTGGGCTCCCCTCGAAGCCAGGCTGGATGGCAGCAGGGGGTGAGTGCTGTCTGCCCCTCAGGCTTTCCGCACGGTGGAGATCAAGCGCTGGGTGATCTGCGCCATGATCGGCATCCTCACCGGCCTCGTCGCCTGCTTCATCGACATCGTGGTGGAGAACCTGGCTGGGCTCAAGTACCGGGTGGTGAAGGACAGTATCCTCACAGGGCACGGGCTGCTGGCCAGCTGGGACCTCTGGGATCTTCTGGGAGCCGTCAGAGAGGGGTCATGGGGGAAGAGGGCAGCGATTCCTCGCTCCGGTTTGGTGGCACAGACTCTGCTGCTCTGCAGGGCTGAGCTGTGCCTGGCTGTAGCACAGGAGGCTCATTTCAGCTGCCCTGGATGCTCTGAGTGACAGGGGGCTTGGAGCAACCCGGTCTAGTGAATGGCATCCCTGCCCATGGGGAGTTGGAGCTAGATGGTTTTTAAGGTGGCATCCAACCCAAACCCCCCTGTGATTCTGTGAGGTACTGTGGTGGGGAGGATGGTACCCAAGCAATACTGGCTTTTCCTTGAGCTGCTGCCCCAGACATTGACAAGTTCACAGCCAAAGGGGGCCTCTCTTTTTCCCTGTTACTCTGGGCCACCCTGAATGCCAGCGTGGTGATGGTGGGCTCTCTGATCGTTGCCTTCATAGAGGTAAGAGTTTGAAACTCTTATGGGTTCTTCAAACGGGCAAAGCAGGGTCATGTTTCCAGAAAATGTGCAAAATTTTTGAGCAGTGAATGTGTTTCTGCCAGTTTGGCTCCTGGTAGCACGAGCTCCTCGGCGTTGGCTCCATCTGTGCTGTGGGGTTTCTGTGGGGCTGGCAGACTGCCAGGAGCTGTGCTGCCAGCCTGGGGCTGAGGCTGTGCTCCTGCCTTGGGCAGGGGTGCAGCTCTCCCAAGCCTTGGCCCTAGATCAGGGCCAAGGTGTGTTGGGTGCACCCAAGTACCAGCAGAGACCAGTCTGGCGGGGTGCCTCAGCTACAGCCTCTGGAGGACAAACCAGAGTCTGGGAGTCCTCATGGATCACTCTAATCCCCAGTGTCTTCCTTGTGGCTTTGCCTTTGTTCTCCCTGGCTCCCCCTTCTGTACCTGTGGCAGGGTAGGGGAACACCTGAGTGTCCCCAAGAACCCATCCAACTCCTTTTTCCTTGGCACATTTGCCCTTAGGAAGTTGGTGTTCCCTCAAGCCCATCTCTAGAGCCTGTTGATAAGCTTTGGCCTCATCTCAGAGCCACCCTGAGGGTGTGCTCTGTGTGCCCTGGTGCTGAGAGACAGGGCTAAGGTGGCTGGTGTGTCCCCATCCTGTGTGTGACAGCTCTCCCTGCTCCCTGCAGCCTGTGGCAGCTGGCAGTGGCATTCCCCAGATCAAATGTTACCTCAATGGCGTGAAGATTCCACACGTTGTCCGGCTCAAGGTAGGAAGCAGAAGGTGGTGGGATGGCCTGGGCATACTGGAGTAGTCCCTGCCCACAGTGTGGCACAGCAGGAGGTGGCATGAACTCCCAGCTCCATAGCTGTTTCTCCCCCAGTGCCCAGAGGTTAAATCTCCTGCCCTGGGAGCAGCAGCTGGCCCTGGGAACAGCAGCTTTGGGTAGACTTTTGCTCTGGCCAAGAAGAAAATTGACCAACCCTGTTGCCACAATTTTGGGGCTGAGAATCATGAATTCCCTGGGGTCATTGGCTCCTCTCGTGCCTTGGGGCCCTCTGGCTCTGTGCCCCCTGTGGCTGCCATGCTCGTGTTCCTCATGCCGCCCCTGTGACGTGCTGTGCCCTTCTCTTGTGCAGACCCTGGTGATCAAAGTCTGCGGGGTCATCCTCTCGGTGGTCGGCGGCCTGGCTGTTGGGAAGGTGATGTGCACAAAGCGCTGCTGACGTGTTGGTCCCCGCTGCTGGCACTTGTCACAGCCTGTCACCGGTCCTGTGCTGGGGACAGGGTGCTGGGGGCCCCACGGTGACCTCCCAGTGTTATTCCTGGTGTCTGCTGGCCAAGGTGACTGGCACTGCCAAGCTTGGGGAGCCCCAGTGGTGCCACCGTGCCAGCCTGTGTGTGGCTTGGCTGAGGGCAGAGAGCAGCAGCCCCTGTCCATCAGTGGCTGTCCCTACAAACAGTAGATGGGAGAGAGTTGGGTACCCCACTGGGATCTTACTGGCTTGCTGGGATTGAAGGCAGGCAAGGGAAACACTTGTTTCCTCAGCTAGTGGGAACAGGAGGTGGGCAAGGGAGGCATATGCTAGGATAAGGATTTCATAAAACCATGGAATGGTTTGGGCTGGAAGAGATTCTAAAGATCATCTCATTCCAAATGAGATGGGCAGAAACACCTTTCATTAGAGCAGGTTACTCAGAGTTCTGTCCAACCTGGTCTTGAACATCTCTGGGATGGGAAGGGGGAAAATGTCAGGGTCTGTATTTCCCTGAGGGAAATACACCCAGCTTCAGGACTGCAAGCTGCGTGAGCAGCATTCAGCCATGCCTGTTCTTCCTTCCTCGACCTGACTGTGCTCTCTGGCCCCTAGGAAGGACCCATGATTCACTCTGGATCCGTGATTGCTGCTGGGATCTCCCAGGGAAGATCCACGTCCTTAAAGCGAGACTTCAAGGTTGGTGTTGGGGTCCGAGGGGCCGTGCTGCCGGTGCCCTTCTGTGCCAGCCCAGGCTGTCCCACTGGTGGCTGGGCATCATCCTTGTCCATACCCTGAGCCTTGACTAAAATCAAGCCCGTGGCCAGCCCTGAAGCTGCCTTCACTCCTGTTTCAGATCTTCGAGTACTTCCGCAGAGACACAGAAAAGAGGGATTTTGTGTCGGCCGGAGCTGCCGCCGGCGTCTCGGCTGCTTTTGGTGCTCCCGTGGGTGTGTGTCTTATTTTATTATTAGAAAGGAGTTTTTTCAGAAGAGTCTTACTGAAATAGGAGATTATAAAGTTGTATTTTTTTTCTGTGAGGAAAATGGTTTCTTTTGGAGTACAACAATGTGTTTGGTTTTTTTTTAAGAGTTTATGATTTTTAAAGGGGTTTTGAGTTTTAAAGGTCAAAGTTCTCCAAGATTTGATGTTATACTTAGTAGGTTAAAAAGTGGAGTAAGTTGATCATTTGCAATTCTTAAAACAGATTGAACTTAATTGATCTCTTTTAAAAGCTGCTGTAAATTTTGTAAGGCGTTGACTTTGCTTTGAAGTTGTGTTTTTTGTGGTTTGATTGTTTGTTATGTCATCTTTTATTTTAGATATTTTAGGGTGAGATTTCCTGTATTTTTGATGTTGAAATTTCTAGTCTAGTATTTTGAACTTCAGTGACAACGTTGTCTTGAGTCTGTTCTATTTCATTCTGAGTTGGTGCTCTCTGGCACTGAGCAGTGCCTGGACATGGATTTCCTCAGGAGGTTGCTCCTGCCTGCTTGGAGGCAGCTCTTGGGATCTGCACAGGGCACTGCAGGGGCCTTCCAAGTTTTCCTGCCATGCCATGCACATGTTGGCCCTGCCCAAGGGCAAAGGGCTCATCTGCCTCCCAGATGTTGCCTCCCTGGGATGGAGAATGGCAGTGGGGGGCTTTGCTGTGCTCAGTACATCACTGATGGCTTGGTGGGCTTGCCTGTGAGAGGGTCTGGGCAGTGTGGGCACATGGCCTGGGGTCAGTCTTGGGGCTGTGGCACGTGCCCCTTGTGTAGATGTTGTATCTTGTGTTGCAGGGGGTGTCCTGTTCAGCTTGGAGGAAGGGGCTTCCTTCTGGAACCAGTTCCTGACATGGAGAATCGTAAGTGTTGGAAAGCAGTGGGGAGCTGCTGGTTCTGCTGTGAGGCATTGCCTTTTCTGGGTGCCCCATGGCCCCAGGGCTCCTGACAGCCCTGCTCCAGTGAGGACCCATCCCAGGGAGCAGCATCCCAGCTCCCCTCCCGTGCCCTGCTCCTCAGGGGCTGAATTTGGGTCTGGCTGAGCTCCATCCTGCTGCCAGCTCCTTTCCAAGGCATCTGCCTTGAGCTGTGCCCCAGGGCAACAGAGGGGCAAAAGGAGAAGTGAGACCCTGGTCAGTGTAAGCTGCCCAAAAGTGCACCCAAAGTGCCACCACAGGGAATGTGACCTCCTGTCCCCACCACACCATGGGCACCAAGCCCTGCCCAAGGGCCTTGGGGATGGTTTGGGGTAGTGCACAGGGAATGTGGAGAGGAAATGGGGCTGGAGGCACTTAGCAGTGACTCTGGGCTGCATCTCCTTCCAGTTCTTTGCCTCCATGATCTCCACCTTCACGCTGAACTCTGTCCTGAGCGTTTACCACGGCAATGCCTGGGATCTCTCCAGCCCTGGGCTTATCAACTTCGGCAGATTTGACAGCGAGGTAGGCACAGGTATTCCCCATGTAGGGCTCTGGGGAGGGGTTAGAAACAGCCCTTAGCAGCTTTGGGGACATCAATTTGTCTATAACCTCGGCCAGAGGCTGAGGCAGACTCTGCCTTAGCAGGCTGTGGGGTCTGGCCAGATCTCAGCTCCACCAGCCCCAGCAGAAGGAATTTCTGGAGGCTGTGGGCTGTTCAGGGGAGACTTTGGGCCAGCTCTCGTGCCAGCGCAGAGTTGTGCTGTCCCAGCAGTCAGTGACTGACTGTGGGACTGCAGATGGGCCAGGAGATCTGAAACCCACATCTTTCTTGCTTGCAGAAAATGGGATACACAATCCAGGAAATTCCTATCTTCATCTTTATGGGAGTGGTTGGTAAGAGAACGCTGCTGTTTCCATTTGATTAGTCTGAATAATTTCCTCTGTTCTCTGTCTGCGTCTAAAAAGCTTTGGTGTCCAGTTTCCTGGGGAAAATGGGGAATCCATTAAATTCTGGAGCAGCGCCTGCTTGTGGGGCTTATGCAGGGATGAGAGCTGGATCCTGTCCCAGCTCTAGTAGCAAAGTCAAGCCCCTTTAACCCATGAGCAGGATGTGTTGCAGTCCTGGGCAGTCCCTTGCTGCCATGTGAGCTGTCCTTATCCCCATGGATTTGGCCTGTCCTTTGCCTGCCTGGTGCCAGCACTGTGACATTGGCCCCTGGCCACCTGCATCTGGTACCAGACAGGTGACAGGTCCTGGCTGGCTGCAGGGACAGCATCCACTTGTCCCAGGGCTGTTGGTCACTCTGGATGAATTGTGGATGATCTTCTGAGGTTCCTTCTGTTGTGGGCAGCCTGGGACCTGCGTGCTGAGCTTTTCCTCTCTCACATTTGCAGGTGGGATCCTCGGAGCCCTGTTCAATGCCCTCAATTACTGGCTGACAATGTTCCGGATCAGGTAAGAGCCCAAAGGTAATGAAGGGGATTGATGTGGGTTGGCTGGTGCCTTCTGCATGCCCTCAAAGTGGCATTCCCACATGGAGCAAGGCTCCATTTAATCTCTTATTTAATGTGAGCAGCAGCAGTTCCTCAAAGATGCCACGTGCCTCTCACTGCCTGTGGCTGTGACCCACAGCATCCCAGCACTGCTCTGATCCTGCCAAATATTTCCCTCCAGTGACTGGAGGGCCCAGAGAGATGCAGACACTGCAGACATGACTGTCATGTGCTCTCAGAGGACTAAGAGAAGGGAGAAAGCTGCTAAAGCCAACTGAGACCAATGTAGCCCAGCCAATACCTGTCACCAGCTTTTCAAGCAGCGGGACAGCCTGGCAGGGTCTGGGCAGGGAGTAGAGGCAGCCAGACTGTCATGTGCCTGATGTGACATGCCCAAGCAGGCTGGGCTGATGCTGCCCACACCTCTGGGTGCCACTGTCATTCCCCTGTTCTCTTGACAGGTACATCCACCGGCCCTGCCTCCAGGTGGTTGAGGCCATGCTGGTGGCAGCAGTGACGGCGACCGTGGGGTTTGTCATGATTTACTGCTCAAGAGATTGCCAGCCCATCCAGGGCAGCTCCGTGGCATATCCCCTGCAGGTAGGATGTGCTGCAGAGCAGCATTCAGGGTGGGGGGCACCCTGAGCCTGGGGGGCTCAGCAGGGAGACAGGACCCTGCTGGGTTTGGGACACTGGACCTTCACAGTTGATGCCCTCCAGCGCAGGCAGAGCTGGAGACCCAAGAATGCTGTAGGTGTCCTCCGTGCTCAGAGCTGCCTCCTCACTGGCACACATCCCCCAGCCTTCCCTGCCACTTCTAGCCCTTTCTTATCTTGCCTTTTCAGCTTTTCTGTGCTGATGGAGAGTACAACTCCATGGCCACTGCCTTCTTCAACACACCCGAGAAGAGCGTTGTCAACCTCTTCCATGACCCTCCAGGTCAGTGCAGCCAGCAGTGAAGCCTTGAACGTAGCAGAGAAGGGTCCACGTGGTCCTTGGCCACTGCTGGGACAAGGCAGAGGGTGATCAGCCCAAGAGGGCTTCACAAAACACTGCTGCAGTGGTGGAAGGAGGATGGGTGCTGTGCCTGGTGACACCTCTGAGCTCGGCCAAAGGGCTGTGCTGTTGGGAGGCTGTGGAGCCAAGGACCTGGTTTTGTTTGTGCACATTTGCAGGCTGTGTTGCTGCTGAGTTGTGTGAGAGTGTGTCTGACCCTTGCTGTCTGTCTGAAGTCTGTTCTGGAAATGTCACTAGGATGTTTTCTTAATTAGCAGGGCCACTTGCCCCATAATGACTTTACCTTCTGGGCAGGCTGTGGAGGTGGATCTTGGGGTTTGGATTTGCTTGAGAAATGCAACTTGGTTCCCAGGTTCCAGCTCCATTTTCCTTGGACCTGGTGTAACCCCAGCATCTCTTGGATGGAATCTGTGTTCTCTGGAATCTGAGTTCTGTGCCCAGCTGCACATGGGTGGGGAACAGAGGGATCCTCAGCCCAGAGGGTGCAGCTTGGCCACCTGCAGCCAAGAGATGACCATCCTTTGTCTTGGGGCTGCTCTCTGCAGTGCTGGGTCCTCCCTGACTCAAGGCTGAAGGAGGGGTTGCAAAGTACTTGTTTAAACTAGACTGGGCTGCTCAGCAATCCCAAAATAGCACTTAGCTGGGTTGTGGGGTCAGCAGGGTCTCTGTGGGATGGCACAGCCTGTGCTGTGGGACAGCATGGCACTGGCTGGAGCAGCTGTGGGAGCTGCAAGATGGGAGGGACTTTGTAGGACATGCTCTGCAAAGCATGCTGATCCCAAAGCTGCCAGTGGGACCTCTGTCCTCCCAGCCTTATCCTTCAGCCCTGGCAGTCCCTCCCTTGGGGCTTTCATTGTGGGAGTCTGGGAAGCACAGAGCTGGGAAGGGGACGAGTCACAAGATGGAGGAATGGGATGTAAGGGCTTGGGATGGCACTGGCTGGGTAGGCGGTGCTGGAGGGGGCAGAAATATCCTGAAGAGCCAGTTTGAAAGGCTGTACCTGTGCAGCCAGAGCAGGAGGTAGAGCCCAAGAAGAGGGGCTCTCGCTGCTGGCGGTGTACTGTGGGGCTGCTGCTGCCTGATCTGTGGCTGCTGCCCATCACAGACTCTGTTCTGTCCCCACGCCAGGTTCCTACAACCCCATGACACTGGGCATGTTCACACTGATGTATTTCTTCCTGGCCTGCTGGACCTATGGCCTGACAGTGTCTGCAGGGGTCTTCATCCCCTCCCTGCTGATCGGGGCAGCCTGGGGGAGGCTCTTCGGCATCTCCCTGTCCTACCTGACCAGGGGCTCGGTGAGTCCTGCCTGGGAAGCCCTGGCACCCAGCCCTCCTTCCTCACTGCTGGGCTGGTGGCATGTTCAGACAGCGTGCCTGGAGCTGCCTGAAAACTCTGAAGTGGGCTGGCTCCTTGCTTGATGTCTCTGTGAGCTGCGTCTGGGCCTCCCCACATCCCAGTGGAGCCCTGCCAGCAGCTGGGTTGTTCAGGCAGCCTCAGGCACCTCTGTACACTTTGGAGGAGGGGAGGGTTTGGGGGGCAGGACTCTGCTGACTATCTCTGAATGCCCTGGAGCCAGCAGGTGACTTGCTCCTTTTCTTTCCTGTGCTCAGATCTGGGCTGATCCTGGGAAG